GTGTAAAAGGTTGCAGACCCCTGGTGTAGGGTAAGTGATGATGGGAATTAGGGGTAACAATGAATACTTGGATTCAATAGAATGTTGAACATGGGGTAGGGATTAATAAGTATTTTATACTTCTTCCTACTCCATTTCAGACTTAATAATTGTCATTTCATGTCATTTAGACTCCTTTTTATTTTATTTATTTTATTTTTTTTGTTTTGTCTGAGCACATACGTGTGTGTATTTACATATATATTCGTATTTGTACATGTAAATGCAAGTATGTGTACTTGTGTATATATTGTTTTTTCTGTATATGTCTGAAATAAAGATAAAATAACAATTAGCAATAAAATATGCTAATTTCCTAGCTCTCTCTCTCCCTGTCTCCTGTGCCACTCTGCTCTGCTTGATGGTGGTCATTGTTTCAACCCTGCTGTCAGCATCTCTTTTGGCTACGGCTTGTATGATGTTGGCCACACCCTCATCAAACTTCTGCCAATCACTCCGTTTGATGGCTGAGGGCCACTTAATTCCCTGCTGTGGAACTACTCTATTTGGATTGGAAGACTCTGGTGTGTGGAGGGACTGGGCCCTATGGGGTGCGTCTCACCAGGTTCAGGGCCTGTGCATTGCATCTCACTCTCCCGCTCCAAACATTTCATTCTCGTCTGATGGACCTTTATTCCACACTGGTTCTTCCACAGCTTGCCACGGACGCATGTCTTACTTATGGTCCTATCCATTACATTGGTCATTAACCTTGACTCTCCTAGGGATATCTCTAGCTTGTTGGGGGGCTTTCTCACGAAAACTGCAGACCAGGGACCTAACCCACCCTACACTTAGAGCTGTCTTTCTAAGCCGCCATTTGTAGTAGTTATCAAACTGTTCTTGGTCGTCACCTTGTCTCTTTCTACACGTCACTGGCTCACCAAGAGCTTAACTATGCAAGAAACATATCCTGGATGCATCTAGAGTATGTTGAAGAGCATTAGGGACAAAACATAAAATAATTTTTGGCCACTCTTCAAGTGGCAGAATGACAGGGAACGATAAGTGCTAGATCGAGTATGCGTATTAACTGTGCTAACAGTGTTGAACTTTGATGACCACACAGATGCTCCCTGAGCAGCTCCCTTGTGCTGTGCTTTGCTCAAGGTAGCAGGAAACTGTTACCGCCATTACGTATTTAAATTACAAAATATGTGTAACTGTATTCCATTACAGTTACTGTTTTAAAAGGTGGTATTCACAATACAGTTACTTTGGTGAAATAAATGAATTACACGGTGGTATCACCT